ATCATCATCAAAATAACAACAACACCCACGACAGCAACCATAACAACAACAACACGAATGACCCTCAAACTAAGCCAAACGGAACCAACAGTAACAACAATAACAATACCAATGGCGAGAACCCAACACCCTCAAAAGTCAAAACAAACTATTATTCCTCACCAAGGTTGTCCTGCTGGTTCACCGTGGCTCCTCGATCCAGCAGAAGTTTCACGATGTCAAGGTGCTTCATCTTCGAGGCCAGAACCAGCGGGGTGTTGCCTGCGGACGATACAGTATTTAAGGATGTCCGATTTTTAACATTTTATTTTATTTTCATTTTATTTTCAGTTCATTGATTTAATTATTTGTTTTATTTCTAATTATCTATTTATTTGTCTGTTTATTTTTTTATTTATATTCTTTATTTTACAATTATTATTATTATTTTCTTTAGTTTACTGATATTTTTTTTAATACTGCGGCTGGCATTGAAAGAAAATCAATTTAAGACTCCTGACTTTTGATTTCTCTTTCACCCTCATCTCCGCTTTTTATTCTTAGCCTCTCTCTCTCTCTCTCTCTCTCTCTCTCTCTCTCTCTCTTCCTCTCCCTCTCTCTATCTATTTATTTATCTATCTATCTGTCTCCCCCCCCCTCTCCCTCTCTCTCTCTCTCGCTCTCTCTCTCTCTCTCTCTCTCTCTCTCTCTCTCTCTCTCTCTCTCTTCCTCTCCCTCTCTCTATCTATTTATTTATCTATCTGTCTCCCCCCCCCCTCTCTCTCTCTCTCTGTCTCCCCCCCCTCTCCCTCTCTCTCTCTCTCTCTCTCTCTCTCTCTCTCTCTCTCTCTCTCTCTCTCTCTCTCTCTCTCTCTCTCTCTCTCTCTTCCTCTCCCTCTCTCTATCTATTTATTTATCTATCTGTCTCCCCCCCCCCCTCTCTCTCTCTCTTCCTCTCCCTCTATCTATTTATTTATCTATCTATCTGTCTCCCCCCCTCTCCCTCTCTTTCTCTCTCTCTCTCTCTCTCTCTCTCTCTCTCTCTCTCTCTCTCTCTCTCTCTCTCTTCCTCTCCCTCTCTCTATCTATTTATTTATCTATCTGTCTGTCTCCCCCCCCCTCTCTCTCTCTCTCACTCTCTCTCACTCTCTCTCTCTCTCTCTCTCTCTCTCTCTCTCTCTCTCTCTCTCTCTATTTATTTATTTATCTATCTATCTGTCTCCCCCCCCCCCTCTCACTCTCTCTCTCTCTCTCTCTCTCTCTCTCTCTCTCTTCCTCTCCCTCTCTCTATCTATTTATTTATCTATCTATCTGTCTCCCCCCCCCCTCTCTCTCTCTCTCACTCACTCTCTCTCTCTCTCTCTCTCTCTCTCTATTTATTTATTTATCTATCTATCTGTCTCCCCCCCCTCTCTCTCTCTCTCTCTCTCTCTCTCTCTCTCTCTCTTCCTCTCCCTCTCTCTATCTATTTATTTATCTATCTATCTATCTCCTCCCAACCCTCTCTATCTATCTATCTATCTCTTTCTCTCTTCCTTTCCCCCTTTCTATTTCTCTCTCTCCCCTTCACCTTCTCCCTCCCATCCACCCTCCCCCTCTCCCCTCCTCCCTCCCTCCTTCTTCCTACCTCCCTCTCTCCTTCTCCGTCCCTCCCTCCCTCCCCCTCCATTTTAACATACACACCATGATTATTTGTGATGTTGATGTTCGCTCCGGCGTTCACCAGATCCTCAATTATAACAGGATGTCCGTTGAAGGCTGCCCAGGCGAGAGCAGAGTTCCCTGGTGTAGTTAAAAGAAAAGAAAAGAAAGAAAATAAATGGATAATTACGTAAATATATAAATAATATGAATAATTGGTGGGTCGGTTGATCGGTTAAAAGGATATGGACGGTTAAAGGTTATAATTTGATGCAGTAATAGATAAATTAATTGAGTGATTAATATGTAGTCATGTACTTGTAAAAAAAGTGATAATAATTAGTTCATTATGATTATATATATTCATAGGTAATGGTAATAATTACTATGATAATAAGCAATAATAATAATAACCATAATAGTAAGTAATAATAAAAACTATAATGATAAGTAATAATAATATGCATAGCAATGATTAATAATAATAAGTATAATAATATGCATAATATTAATAATTACTATAATAATAACTAACAATTACGCATATAATAACAAACAATAATGATACCCACCTAAAGTAACAACATCAACTACTCCTAACTGCAACAATAAATATCCAATAACAATAACAATCGCAAAGATAAAAAAATATCTCTCACCATCCTTATTCCGGTGATCTAAGTCGACTCCAAGCGCAAGCAACATTTTCACCACTGCAGGTCGGTTTCCTTGAGCTGCTTGCACGAGCGGCGTGTTTCCTGCAAATATTGATGGCAATAATAGCAATAATATCGATAATGTGGATGGTAAATAATAACAAAGGATGAAAGGAAAATTCTTGTTTAGAAGGATTTGGGATAATTCTTAGTTAAACTGGAAACAAAAAAAATATTATGGTGCTTTTTGTTAATAAAAACGATCCAATCAAAATGTCTCATCTGCTAAGACAGATATTTTACTTATATGAAGAAGGTAATAATGACAAAGATAACGATTTTAATGATAATAATGATAATGACAACAAAATCACAAAATTACCGAAAACAAAAACAACATTCATAACAACATCCATATCACCGAAAAAATCTTTAACAAAAGAAAAAAACAACATTCACAACAAAATAAAAAAACAACATTCACAACAAAACAAGAAAAACAACATTCACAACAAAAGAAAAAAACAACATTCACAACAAAATAAAAAAAACAACATTCACAACAAAACAAGAAAAACAACATTCACAACAAAAGAAAAAAATAACATTCACAACAAAACAAGAAAAAACAGCATCTACAGCAAAACAAAAAATATCATTCACAACAAAAGAAAAAAACAATATTCACAACAAAAGAAAAAACAACATTCATAACAAAACAAGAAAAACAACATTCATACCACCACCAACAAAAACAACATTCACAAAACAAAAGACATCGTTCACAACAAAAGAAAAAACATTTATAAAAAGAAAGAAAAAACATTCACAACAAAACAAGAAAAACAATATTCACAACAAAACAAGAAAAAGCAACATTCACAACAAAACAAGAAAACCAACATTCACAACAAAACAAGAAAAAGCAACATTCACAACAAAACAAGAAAAACAACATTCACAACTAAAGAGAAAACAGCATTTACAACAAAAGAAAAAGCAACATTCACAACAAAACAAGAAAAAACTACATTCACAACAAAACAAAACAAAAAAATCACAACAAAACAAGAAAAACAATATTCACAACAAAACAAGAAAAACAATATTCACAACAAAACAAGAAAAACAACATTCACAAGAAAACAAGAAAAAACTACATTCACAACAAAACAAAACAAAAAAATCACAACAAAACAAGAAAAACAATATTCACAACAAAACAAGAAAAACAACATTCACAACAAAACAAGAAAAACAACATTCACAAGAAAACAAGAAAAAACTACATTCACAACAAAACAAAACAAAAAATCACAACAAAACAAGAAAAACAATATTCACAACAAAACAAGGAAAACAATATTCACAACAAAACAAGAAAATCAACATTCACAACAAAACAAGAAAAACAATATTCACAACAAAACAAGAAAAACAACATTCACAACAACAAAAAAACATCATTCACAACAAAACAAGAAAAACAACATTCACAACAAAACAAGAAAAAACAAATCACAACAAAACAAGAAAAAAAAACATTCACAACAAAACAAGAAAAACAACATCCACACCACCACCAGCAAAAACAACATTCACAACAAAACAAGAAAAAACAACATTCACACCACCACCAACAAAAACAACATTCACACCACCACCAACAAAAACAACATTCACACCACCACCAACAAAAACAACATTCACACCACCACCAACAAAAACAACATTCACACCACCAACAACAACAAAAACACCCCCACCCCACCCCACCCCACCCCCCCACAACACCAGCAGAAGAGCGCAGCCTCACCAGCGAGGTCCGTCACGTTGGCCGCAGCCCCGGCCTTCAGCAGGTCTTGAACCATGATCGTGTTCCCCAGGAAGGCGGCCCAGTCGAGCGCCGTGTCTCCTGGAGGGGGGAGGAAGCATATGTTATTATTATTATTATTTGTTATCATTATTAACATCATTAGGTATTATTATAATAATTATTATTATTATCATTATTATTATTATTATTATTATTATTACTATTATCATTATTATTACTATTATTATTATTACTATTATTATTATTGTTATTATTATTATTATTATTATTATTATTATTATTATTACTATTATTATTATTATTATTGATATTATTGTTATTAATAATTTGTTTTTTGCTTTGTTTCGTTTTTTTTTTACTCCTTTTGTACGTTGTGTGTTACTTTCTTGCGTTTTTATTTATTTATCTATTTATGCTTATTTATCTATCTGTTTATTTATTTATTACTCCTACTTACTCTGTGTGTTACTTTCTTGCATTTAATTTGATAATTCATCTGTATTTTTTAACATTTCATGTATTCAATCTTTTTTTTTAGTATTCACGTAATCCTAAATCCTTCGTAACATTAGGTTCATCTTGTTTTTATATTTAGCGTAAAAGTACTATATTTGTGAAAGAAAGATAACCATTGTAAGAAATAAAATTAAGCATTTTGAGTTTGGATATGAGGAAGATTACGGAATACTCATTGGCGAGATACGTGGTCGATAATGAGAATGAAATGAGATAATAATGAGAATAAGATATAAAGCGAAACGCAAAAGCGCAAAAAAAGAAAAGAAAAGAAAAAGAAACTATTGAAACAGAAGGATATTGAAACCTCTACGTTTCGAGTGAAACAGAAATCCTCTTCAAGTTTCCAGTGTTAATCCCTCCTGAAGTTTGGATGTGTTTCAGTTTCATCCCCATATCCAAGCCCTTTCGCCGCTACAGCCAGGCATTTTCACGTCCACATCTTGTCACTTTCAATTCCTCATCTAGTCATTTTCACCTCCACATCCTGTCATTATCTTCCACATAAAACAATTTCATCATATTTAGTGATTTTTACCTCCTTAGCCAGTTATTTTTCTCTCCACATCCTGCCATTTTCACCGACATAATAAATAACTTTCACCTCCACATCCAACCACCTTCCACCTCCACATAGTCACTTTCAGCGTCCACATACACCAGCTTCGCCTCCACATGCTGTCATCTTCACCTCCACATCAAATCACTCCCACCTCCACTTCCAGTCATTTTCACCTTCCATAGAACATCCTACATCAACACCCTATCACTCTTATCTTCCACATCCAACCATCCTCCACCCCCCCTCCACCCCCACCTCCACCCTCCACATCCCCCCCCCCCCCCTACACCTTCCCCTCCACATCCTCTTCTCACCTTCACTCAAATTCTGAAGATTAGGGTCAGCGCCAGCCTCCAGGAGATGTCTGACTACTTCGGTGTGGTTTCTGTTTGCGGTCCAGATGAGGGCGGTCGTGCCTGAAAGGGAAAAGGAGAGTGAGAAAGAGAAAGAGAAAGAGAGAAAGAGAGAGGTGAGAGGTAGGGGGAGGAGAAGGGGAGAGGGGGAAGAGAAGGGGGGAAGAGAAGGGGGGAAGAGAAGGGGGGAAGAGAAGGGGGGAAGAGAAGGGGGGAAGAGAAGGGGGGAAGAGAAGGGGGGAAGAGGGAGGGAGGGAGAGGGAGAGAGAGAGAGAGAGAGAGAGAGAGAGAGAGAGAGAGAGAGAGAGAGAGAGAGAGAGAGAGAGAGAGAGAGAGAGAGAGAGAGAGAGAGAGAGGGAGAAAGAGAGAGGGAGAAAGAGAGAGAGAGAAAGAGAGAGAGAGAGAGAGAGAGAGAGAGAGAGAGAGAGAGAGAGAGAGAGAGAGAGAGAGAGAGAGAGAGAGAGAGAGAGAGAAGAGAGAGAGGGAGAAAGAAAGAGGGAGAAAGAAAGAGAGAGAGAGAAAGAGAGAGGGAGAAAGAAAGAGAGAGAGAGAAAGAGAGAGAGAGAATAAGAAAAAAGAAAAAAACAAGAGAGAAAAAAAAAACGAAATACATAAACAGATCTCACCTACAACGAGAACCAAACCAAAATAAAAAAGAGAGAGAGAGAAAAAAAAAAACAATAAAAAATAAAGAATAAAAAACATAAACAAAATTTAAACACGCCCCATTCCTATAAAAAGCAAACTCTCCTATACCTTCATTATTCTTGTGGTCGATGGCGGCGCCTTGACCGAGCAAATACTTAACAACTTCTAGGTGATTCTCCTTCGCTGCTTGAATAAGAGGCGTATTTCCTGGTAGAGAAGAAAAAGAAAAAAACTAAATTAAATAATAATACTAGATAAAAAGAAAAATATAATTTTTATTTTTGTATTAAATAATAAAAGCAATTAAAGAAAAGATAAATGAACACATGCGAACACGCACATTAACACAAATAAAAAAAATCAGTTTAATTGATTGCAGAGGCGTATATCCTGCTGACGAAGAAAATTAATTAAGAAATTCTATTAAGTAATAACATTTTCTTAGATAATAAAAGCAATTAAGGGAAATATATATAGGAATGTATACGAACACACACATTAACACACGATGTTAACAATTGGGTATGTAAATTAACTGAATAAGTGGCGTATTTCCTGGTAAAGAAGAAAATAGAAATCAAGAGATAATAAAATCAATTAAAGAAAAGGAATAAGAATGCATGCAAACGCACATATTAACAGACAAATTAACGACTGAAAATGCAAATTAACTGAATAAGTATTTTCTGATGAGGAAAAAACAAATTTATCATTGGACGAAAAAAAAAAAATATATATATATATATCTATATATCCAGCTAAATGTATCTGTGTAGACATATCTATTTATCTATCTGTTTGGTCCTGTCAAACTACTCATATATATCTACTTATTTGTATATCTATAACTGTCTATCTCTACCTATCTGTCTCTCTTTCTCTATTATACTGTCTTTCCACATTTCTGTTTACATATGTCTATCCATCGGTCTACCTGTCTATCTATATACCTATGAATGCATATCATTCAGCGTACTTAAACATCGACACAAGCACACACACAAATTCATATATACATCTATCTGTCCATCAATCTATTTATCTATCTATCTATCTATCTATCTATTTATCTACCTACCTATCTATCTATCTATCTATCTATCTATCTATCTATCTATCTATCTATCTATCTATCTATCTATCTATCTATCTATCTATCTATCTATCTACCTCTCTATCTATCTATCTACCTATCTATCTATCTATCTAACAAAAATACAACGGCAATAAAGAGTTGAGCCTCACCGGCCTTGTTCGGGAGGTCGACCTGCGCGCCCTTGGCAAGCAGGTCCTGAGTGACGCCGAGGTTGCCGTGGAAGGCTGCCATGATAAGCGCCGAGTGTCCTGAGGAAAAAAAAAAAACGTGAATCGTGTTTTAAAATGGGGGTTGACTGCGTTTTAAGGAATGTGTTTTCGATAAGGAAATGTGGTGGTTTGTGATGGCTTAAAGTCTTTTTATTTTTATTATTATTTTTTTTTTTACTTGATGAGGGAAATCTATAAGTGAGTTTTGAAAATATTTGCCAATAAAAAAAAAAAATCCGATATCTTTGAATACAAATCGAACGGTTCAAATCGACCAATCAATCTTCTTGAACACCAAACAAACTAAAAACAAAAACACATTCAATCGAAATCATTATAAACAATATCAAACAAAAAACAAACAATACCAAAGAACAAAACAAAAAACAAAACAAAAAACAAACAATACCAAAAACAAAACAAAAAACAAACAATACCAAACAACAAAACAAAAAACAAACAAACAAACAAACAAACAAAAAAACGAATTATCCAAATTCCATTAAAAAAATACGAACCAAATTTGCGCGTCTGTCTGTTCACATCTGCCTGGTGGTCGAGTAGGACCTTCACAATATCCCCGTGGTTTTTGCGTGCTGCCGAGATGAGGGGAGTCGAACCTGTGGATGAGGGGAGATAGATAGATAGATAGATAGATAGATAGATAAATGGGTGGATAGACTGGTTGATGGATGGATATATATAGACACACACACACTTTTTTTTTTGTGTGTGTGTATGTGTGTGTGTGTATGTGTGTGTGTGTATGTGTGTGTGTGTGTGTGTGTGTGTGTGTGTGTGTGTGTGTGTGTGTGTGTGTGTGTGTGTGTGTGTGTGTGTTTGTGTGTGTGTGTGTGCGTGTGTGTGTGACTGCCATGTATATACATATTGAAGCTGCATAATATATTAGCCTCAATAACTGTCAATTACCCCTAATGACTTAATTGTTATTTCCCTTATAAAACACGAAATAAAAGTAATCGTTATGTATGCACGAACGTTTTTCTTCTTTTTTTTTGCTGTTTTTGTTTATTCTTTTTTATCTCTCCATCTCTCTGTTTATTCATTGATATACCTACTTACTCATTCAGTCATCTATTTCCTCTATTAATTGGTTCGATCAATCATCTACTAATATATCTATTGATTAATCTATCAATTACTTTATTGATCCTTTTCATTATCTTATTTACCTGATTATTCTATCTATTTATTAACCAATTTATCTATCTCTCTGTTTACTTCTCTATCTGTATATCTATCTATCTATTTACTAATTTATCTATCCCTCTATTTGCATTTCCCCCTGTATATCTATCTATCTACCTATTCACTCAATTGTCTATTTCTCTGTTTACTTATCTACCTATCTATCTATTTACTAATTTATCTATCCCTCTATTTACTTCTTCACTTGTATACCTATCTATCTCTTTACTGCTTCATCTGTATCCCTATCTATCCTTCCATTCACTTTATCTATCCTTTATTCACCTCTTCACCTATATACCTACCTATCTTTCTGTTCACTTCTTTTCGCGTATATCAGTCCATCTATCCATCCATTAATTTATCTATCCATTCATTGATTTATCTATCCATTCACTCATTCATCTATCCATCCATTTATTCATCTATCCACCTTTATCTGTCTCTCTATTTACTTGCCAGTTTAACCTATCTATTCACTCATCCATCCGTCCTTCTATTTACTTCTTTACCTGTATATCTATCTAGCTATTCATCCATTCCTTTATCTATCCATTCATCCACTCATCTGTCTATCCATCCACCCATTCCTCTATCCCTCTATTTATTCCATTACCAATATAACCTACCTATTCATTAACTTATTCCTCCTTCCATCCCTCTATCTATATCTACTAGTTACAGTTTACTATTTACTATTAAACTATTTAACTATTTAAACTATTACTATTTTTAAAACCATTTATAAACTATTTTGCTATCAATTTTTTAAAATATCTATTTACATCCACTCTATCTACACCTTTTATCAAACCATTTATTCTATTTTCTTTCTTCCTTTCTGCAATTTACCTGCAACATTCTGCTGGTCGACCTTCGCTCCGCCCTCGAGCAGTATCCTGACTACCTGTGGGTGGTTCATGTCCGATGCCAGAATAAGGGGCGTGATTCCTGTTGATGAGAGGGAGAGGAAGAGGAAACATTGAAAAATAGCAACTTTAACAACTTTTTTTTTTTTAACAAGGTTTAACAGTTTTTTTTTAACAAGGTTTAACATTTTTTTTTAACAAGGTGTGACAACTTTTTTTTAATAAGGTTTAACAACCTTTTTTAAACAAGGTTTAACAACTTTTAAAACAAGGTTTAACAACTTTTTTGACAAGGTTTAATAACTTTTTTTACAAGGTTTAATAACTTCTTTTTGACAAGGTTTAATAACTTTTTTTTTCAAGGTTTAACAACTTCTTTTTGACAAGGTTTAATAACTTTTTTTTTTTACAAGGTTTAACAACTTCTTTTTGACAAGGTTTAATAACTTTTTTTTAACAAGGTTTAACAAGTTTTTTTTAACAAGGTTTGACAACTTTTTTTTAACAAGGTTTGACAACTTTTTAAAACAAGGTTTAAGAACGTTTTTTTTTTTTTACAAGGTTTAACAACTTCTTTAAACAAGGTTTAATAACTAGCGATAATATCAATGATAATGGATAATGGAGATTATGGAGAAAAGAAGAAAAAAATAGAGAAGTTTTGGCAATTAAAGATGATTTCAATAAGAGATGATAATGAAAATGGAAATGATAATAGTAGTGAGAATAATAATAATAGTAATGATGATAATAATGATAATAATAATAATAATAATAATGATAATAATAATAACGATGATTATAATGATAATAATACAACAATGATAATAATGATTATCATAATAGTAGCAATAATAATAATAATAGCAATAATGATAAAAATATAAAAAAATGATGATGATGATGATAATAATAATAATAATAATAATGATAATAATAACCATAATAATAATGATAATAATAATAACCATAATAATAATAATAATAATAATAATAATAATAATAATAATAATAATAATAATAATAATAAAATATGTAATGATAATAATAATGATAATTATTATTATTATTATTATTATTATTATCATTATGATAATGATGATGATGATGAGGATTTCAGATATATAAGAGCATTATAAATATGAAAATATCAAGTGTCAATATCTTATGAAAGAGAAAGATTAATTGGTTAAAAAATGACGATAGTGAATAGGAAGCAAGACAATTTTCCTGGCGTTTTGGAGTCGCCATTTTGCTATGATAAGGCATGAGGGAGAAAGAGATGAAAGGGAAAAGGAGAGAAAGAGAGAGAGAGAGAGAGAGAGAGAGAGAGAGAGAGAGAGAGAGAGAGAGAGAGAGAGAGACAGAGACAGAGACAGAGACAGAGAGAGAGTGAGTGCGTGAGTTGAATTGATTGATTGAGTGATAGATAGATGGAGAAAAAGAGAGGCAGAGGTGGATAGATATATAGATAGAGAGCGAGAATATGAGAGAGAGAGAGGGTGAGCACGTGAGTTAAATTGATTGAATGTTAGATAGATAGATAGAGAAAGAGAGAGAGAGCAAAAGAGAAAAACAAACAAACAAACAGACAAACAAAATCAAAATCAAAACAGCAAAACAAACAAACAAACAACTCCTCCCCTCCCCTCCCCTCCCCCCCAAAAAAAAAGAAAAAAAAGGAAACCGATTTCACTGAAAATCGTCCCCTTGAGCAGGCCAGGCCGCCCACTCACCGTCGTTGGTGGCCAGGTCGACCTGCGCTCCGGCGGCGATCAGGTCCCGCACTACGAGGGAGGACCCGCGGAAGGTAGCGAGAATCAGGGCAGTCTCTCCTGTTGGCGAAGGGTGACCGTTATAGGGAGGTGTGGCGGAAGTCAGAGGCCGTTGTAGATAGTGTGTCACGGGGAAATGATACATATACGTACATATAAACACATACGCACGGACACGCACACACATGCACACGCACACACACACACACACACACACACACACACACACACACACACACACACACACACACACACACACACACACACTCACTCACTCACTCACTCACTCACACACACACAAACACACACGCACATACAGATACACACACATACAGATACACATACATACATATACACATACATACACACACAAACACATTTACTTTTTTTCTTTTTGGGAAAATAGAAATTTCTCTTAACTAATACACGATTTCCACATATCCATTCTAATGTCTTCGTCACAATCACAATCTTCATCATTAATCGTGGATCACCTGAATCAACAACTATTTCTTCCCATTAATCTAATTTCACCGACTCCAAAAATGATCAATTTCTCTCAAATTTATTACGATCTGCTTCTAAAATGATCTACTTCTGAAATTTATTACGATCTGCTTCTAAAATGATCTACTTCTGAAATTTATTACGATCTGCTTCTAAAATGATCTACTTCTCAAATTTATTACGATCTGCTTCTAAAATTATCTGCTTCTCAAATTAAGGATATTTTTTCTGTCAAATTTACCTTCATTATTCTGGAAGTTGACCATTGCCTTCGCTGTGAGTAAAATCCTGACCGTCTGCACGTGGTTCAACGCGGAGGCCATCATGAGGGGGGTGTTTCCTGTGGATAAAGGGACAGTTTTGGGGACATTTCTCTTTCAAGTGGGGTATCTGTAGGGGCAGGGGTGGGGGAGGGTGATTTCATGTTTTTTTTCCTTTTGTTATGGGATTATTATTGTCTTTATTAACAATTGCTTAGTATCTCATCATATGAATCATCTTCCCCACACGCCCACAACCCCACATCTATCCCCTTTACATCCACCCACCCATACATACACCTCCTCCCCTTCACAACCCCATCCCCCACCCACCAACCCAAAACACACAACATACACCACAACCCCCTCCCCTCTTCCCCTTCCCCCCATCCCCCCCCCCCTAGACACACTTCCAACTCACCAGCTTTGTTCGGGATGTCCAGCATGGCGCCTGCTTTGATCAGGTCCTGAGCAGCGATCGAGTTGTCGAGAGCCGCGGCCACGGAGAGCGCTGTGTCTCCTGGAAGGTGAGGTTGTTGGCTGAGTAAATGGGGTTATTAAGTATATTTGGTTGATGGATGGGTAAATGTGGTTGTAGATGAATGAATACTGACTTTTTCTAAAAATTGTTTTACCAATGTGTGTGTGTGTGTGTGTGTGTGTGTGGGCATGCGTGCGTGTATGCGTGCATGCGTATGTGTGCGTGTGTGTATGTCTGTTCTTCTACATACATACATAAACATATACGTACATGTCTAATCTTTCCTTTCCTTTGCCTTTCATCCAAACTTACCCTTTTGATTTTGAAGGTTAACGTCGGCCCCGCGCTCAAGCAGGAATTTCATGATCTGAGAATGGCCCTTATCCACGGCTAGCATAAGGGCTGAGTTTCCTACAAAGAGAGAATCACATCACATGAGATGAATCGCATCACATACAGAAGAAATACGAAGAAAACAATCTTGATAGATAGATAGTTAAGTAGATAAGTAGATAGATAGATAGACAGAATAAATACACAGAAAACAATCTTTATAGACAATTAGATATATAGACAGATAGGTAGGTAAGTAGATATATAGATAGGTAAATAGATAGATAGACAGGTAAATAGATGAATATATATGTAGACAGATAGATAGATAGAATAAATGCACAGAAAACAATCTTCATAGATAAATAAAATGATAGATAGATAGGTAGATAAGTAGATAGATAGATGGGTAGGTAGATAAATAGGCAGAAAGATAAATAGGTAGATAGATAGATAGATAGATAGGTATATATAGTAAATGCGAAGAAACCAACAGTAAAATATAAACATTAACGAAAATTACGGCCTAAAAAATAAAGGATTATTGTTTTCTTTTCTTTTCTCTTCACTTTTATCTTTACTTTTCCCTATATCTGCTTCTGCATTCTCCCTATTCCGTCTCTGTCGATTTTAATTGTCTCCTCATTCTACCTTAATCTACTTTAATCTACTAATCCTATCCTTATCCACTTGAACTTTCTTCTTATTCTACTTTTATCAATTTCTACTATCTCCTAATTATAACTTCATTAACTTCAATTGGTTCCTTAATACTTCTGTCTAATTCAGCATTTTCACATTTTACCTTCATATTCCTCAAATATTACTCCAATGGATCTATTTCATTATTCTTTCGGTTGCAATAATCTACCTATTTCTACCTTCTATCTATTTCCTAATTATCCTAATTCTGTCTTTATCCAGTTGAATGTTTCTACCTTTTCTTATTCAATATTTGCTTAACTGTATTTTCTACTACGGTCGACTCTCTTCTAAATCTACCTTTGTCTACGTCGAAATTCTCTAAGTATAATATGGTTTAATATTCTCTAAATTCTTTTCTTTTCAGGTTTAGCATTTTCCCAAAACTAAATTTATCGACTTCAGTGTTTCCAATATTTTTTAACTACGGTCGACTCTCTCCTAAATCTACCTTTGTCTACCTCGAAATTCTCTCAGGTCAACCTTAAAGTGGTTTAATATTCTCTAAATTATTTCCTTATCTGGTTTAGCATTTTCCCAATACTAAATTTATCTACTTCAGTGTTTCCCATAATCTACTTTTGTCTACCTCGATATTTTCTCCATCTTCCTTAAAATTCATCTAATTTTCACTTCATCTACTTCATAATTTTCCTCATTCTATCCTCATCTACTTAAATAATATCTCAATAATATCTTACTTTGGCTATTTCTACCTCAATCTATTTCAGGATTCGACGACTGCTGTTCTTATCTACTTATATAATTCTACTCCCATCTACTCTAACATTTGGCTAAGTCAATCCTTATCTACTCGAACATTTTCTTAATTCGACTCTTATCAACAAAATTATCCAGTGTCTACTTTATCTACTTCAACATTCGCTAAATTTTACCTCAATCTACCTCGAATATTTTACCCAATCCTACCCTCCCCCTACCTCAAACATCCCCCCCCAATTCTACCCTCATCCTACGTCAATCATCTCCCCCACCCCCCCAAATCCTACCCCTCCCCCTACCTCCACTATCTCCCCTCCTCCCCCCAATCCTACCCTCCCACTACCTCAACCATCCCCCCACCCCCCAATTCAAGCCTCACCCTACCTCAACCATATCCCTCTCCCCCCTAATTCTACCCCTTACCCTACCTCAACCATCTCCCCCACCCCCCCAAATCCTACCCCTCCCCCTACCTCCACTATCTCCCCTCCTCCCCCCAATCCTACCCTCCCACTACCTCAACCATCCCCCCACCCCCCAATTCAAGCCTCACCCTACCTCAACCATATCCCTCTCCCCCCTAATTCTACCCCTTACCCTACCTCAACCATCTCCCCCTCCCCCCCAAATCCTACCCTCACCCTACCTCATACACCCCCCCCCCAATTCTACCCTCCCCCTACCTCAATCATCTCCCCCCCTCCCCCTCCCCCCTAATCCTACCCTCCCCCTACCTCAACCACCCCCCTCGCCCCCACCCCCAAATTCCACCCTCCCCCCTACCTCAAACCCATCCACCATCTACCTCCTCCATTATCTACTTTTATCTACTCACCCACGTGGTTCTGGTGGTCGATCATCTCTCCGCCGTCAAGAAGGATTCTGGTCAATTGCATATCATTGGCAGTGACGGCCAGGATGAGAGCCGTGTTGCCTGGGGGGAGTGATTGCAATAGTGGTTTTAGTAGGAGTGATTATAGTAGTTGTCATTGTGACGGTTATAGTGTTGATAATGACGGTGAAATTAATTGTGATAATGGTGGTGTTAATGATAGATATTGGTAATGATAATAATGATAATGATAATAATAATAATCATAATAATAATAATAATGATTATGATAATAGCAACAGCAATGACAATGACAATAATAATAGTAATAAAAATAATAACAATAGTAATAATAACGATAATACTAAAAATGATAAAAATAACAACAACAATAATATCAACAATTAATTAATAACAGGGATCAAAACTATTTCAATTAAATAAATAAAAGAATGATAATTGAATAAGTGATTCTTATTTGTCAATTTCTGTTTCATTTAAAAAGAAAAAAAAGTTTGAAAGAGAAGGGAAAATTAAACAACATTTGTGAATGACAAAATATATCATGAATCCCCCCACAAAAAAAAGAAAAGAAAAAATATATATAAATAGTCATCAATCACTTTTTTTTCTCTCAAAATATAACAGAAAAGTGAAGAATTAATCTCCAAACTCACCGTAAATATCGGTCATATTCAAGGAAGCTCCGGCATTTAAGAGTTCTTGCACAATGATGGGATTCCTCGTCATGGTCGCCCAGTGCAGAGCGGTGTGTCCTGTTGGAGGCGAAGAAAAAAAAGAATTTGAGTTATAAAGCAAATGTTTGTATATTTTTTAATGGTGATTTTTGATGGGATTTGAACTTGTTTTTCCATGTTGCTGTATAATGAAACATAAAAACACACTGATATATATATATATATATATATATATATATATATATATATATATATATATATATATATATATGTATATAAATATGTGTGTGTGTGTGTGTGTGTGTGTGTGTGTGTGTGTGTGTGTGTGTGTGTGTGTGTGTGTGTGTGTGTGTGTGTGTGTGTGTGTGTGTGTGTGTGTACATATTAAAGAAAGAAAGTTATTCTTTTACGAAAAAATAGAAATGATAAGATTTCATTACCTGGAAATAAATAGATAATAAATGTTTCCATGGTTTCTTGGCGCTCAGGATAAAAAAAAAAAAAAAAAAAAAACTTGCCAAGATGTTATTCTTTATGAGAAGACGTTGTTTATGAAAAAAATATTGCTCATGGAAAGATGTAGTTCATTAAAAGGCATTGTTCATTATACAATATTCTTTATGAAAAGAATTTGTTTATAAAAAGATGTCTAAGAAAAAATGTTTATGAAAAGATTTTACTGAAAAAAAATATTGTTTATTATTTATTAAACATTATTCCATATGAAAAGTTAGTCTTTATGAAAAGATATTGTCTATGAAAAGATGTTCTTTTAATAGCGATATAATATTACTTCCTGACAGTACCAAGAAAACGGATAGAGTAATAATATTATCGTTTTCAAAAAGCTTTCGAGAAAAAAATATGGTTTGACAAGAAGTAAACGTTTCGAAATTTGAACTTGAATCTAGAAAAAAATGTAATGCTTCCCTTCCTGTTGATATTTTCATATATGAATTTATTTCCTGGTGGCTGGCGGCGAAGGAGAGAGAGGGAGAGAGAGAGAGAGAGAGAGAGAGAGAGAGAGAGAGAGAGAGAGAGAGAGAGAGAGAGAGAGAGAGAGAGAGAGAGAGAGGAGAGAGAGGAGAGAGAGACGAGATAGATAGATAGATAGATAGATAGATAGATAGATAGATAGAGAGAGAGAATATAGTTTACATAAATGACTTATCATTCACATATATCTTAGATTGCTTCCTTGCGCCACCGATGAAATGAAGTTACATAAAATAGCACTTTAATATTGTTGACAAAACACTTAAATACAAGAGATCTGAACTTAATTTTCGATGTTGCCACATGATGAATCGTAAAAAGAGGAAACATTATGGTTTAAATGAAATAGACCTGAATGTCAAGCACAAATAATGCATAATGTTGAAAAGGGAATAAATGCACCAGTATTTCAATTTGTACAGTGAATTATATCACGTTATCAAAATTACTTCACAACGTACGAGAGAGAATTAATAATTATATAATAATACCTCAAGCATTCCAGAACTTGAGAATAAATTGTCATATATCTAAATGAATAAATTTACATCTTATTAAAATAAATGAAAATACAATAAAATGCAATACATCTCCATCAGAATGACTCTCTTTACATGAATGTCTTTGCGTCCAACGGTATTCTGAGAATATTCATTTTTATCAAATATTTTGCCAATTTAATCTTAACATCCATGCCATAAAACATCGATATGTTCTAAAAAAGTACAACCATAAAATAACAGTATATTAACGTAAATATGCCGACATTCAAGTTATAGACAAAAGTTTAAATGGACGAAACATTTAATAAACGTATTTAGAACAGTTTGCCTGAGTCACCCATCGACCGCGCATACCTTCAGGAGGAAATACACTAAGGTTTAAATAACTTCAAAAATTGGCCTCTTTTGATTAAGATAATGAAGTACATTTAACCTAAATTCAAGCCCACGAATTATTCAACTCAATAATGTCAATCATTTGTAAAATAATGATAATAAAGAAAATTACAATAAAATAGAAAAATAAAAATAGCCAATAACATTCATCATAATGGCATTACCTGATAAATAAATAGATAGAAAGTAGATAAATAGATAGATGGAAAAGTAGATGAACAGATAGATACAGAAGTAGAAGTATAGCTAGAAAAGTAATTAAATAGATATATAGAATAGTAGATAAACAGCTAGAAAAGTAGATAGATAGATAGAAAAGTAGATAAACAGATAGATAGATAGAAAAGTAGATGAATAGATAGATAGAAAAGTATATAAATAGATACATAAGTTGATAAATAGTTTGATAGAAAAAATTGATAAACAGATAGAAAAGTGTATTCCTGACGAAGATATAATCGAAACCGATCAAATACATCTCTTGTATTGTGGAGAACTTCTTTCTCATCCATACCTTTTTTCTACATTTATCAACAAATTGCGAAAAGCATGTAAGCCCGAATGTTAAATTGGCGCGTGAATAGGACTAATGTATCTTTATGTATCCATAAAGTTTATAACATACCTTCGTTATCTTGCAAGTTGACCGACACGCCAGCTCCCAACAGAATCTTCATCACCTCCTGGTTATTTTCTATCAGGGCTCGAATTAGGGCCGTGTGTCCTGGTGTTGGGGAGAGAATGTTGGAATTGTTATTAATATTTTTTCGTTTATTGTTTTATTATACTGTTGTTTATTCAGTTAATTGGTTTGTTTATCCGTGGTTTGATCTAGTTATCCGTCCGTCCGTCAATTTCAATAAAACATTCAATAAAACGATTCCCTGACTTTCCACCCACCAACCAGAGGCCCCCCCCCCAACCCTCTCTCTCAACCACACCCCCACCACTTCTTTCTTTCACCAGCACCACATAGCAATCCATCAATCATAACAATCACCCCCACCCCTTCTCCCCCTCTCCCCCACCCCCTCCTGTTACCACCCCCCCCTTACCTTGGCTATTCCTGTGGTCGCCATCGGCTCCTCTGGTCAGAAGCAGTGTTACCAAGTCCGGATGGTTGGCTATGGCTGCCCGGATGAGCGCAGTGTTGCCTGGTGAATGGATAAGAATTTTTTGGTTTCGTTATAATCTCCGCATTTAGTGTTGTTATTTGTTTTTAATGTTTTTATCTGTTGTTTTATCACCATGATATTTATTTCTCCAGTATTTATTCATTAATTTTTTGTCTATCATCATCTTTATTTTTCTAGTATTTATTCATTATTTTTTCTATCATCATCTTTATTTTTCTAGTATTTATTCATTATTTTTTTATCATCTTTATTTTCCTAGTATTTATTAATTATTTTTTCTATCACTATCTTAATTTTTTCTAGTATCTCTTCATTTATTTATTTATTATTATCATTTTTTAAGAGACTTACCTGCATCTGTCGGAATATCGATCAAGGCGCCCGCATCAAGGAGATTTTGAACCATCATTGCATTGCCGTTGTTAGCAGCCCAGTACAGAGCCGACAGTCCTGAAGGTGGATAAAAAAAAGGCAATAAAAAAACCAGTAAAAAGGTATATAAATAGCTTAAATATTTGAAATACGATTTAGGAATAGAGTAAGATGTAAAGGTAATGTATATCAAGTAGTTATCATACCATAAAACTAGTCTTTTTACGTAATAAAATTATTGGCCCCTTTTGATTAAGATAATGAGTTACATTAATCAAAATTAAACTGGCATACTCAACTCAAACCCTCTCATCCGACTCAATAATATCAATTACTTAAATAAATACAAACCCCCAACAATAAAAACAATTACCTTAATAAATAAACAGCATATCCAACATCCACCCACATCCTACCGTGCCTCAAAAACATCCATAACCCTCATTAAAATCACTAATTAAAAATTTAACATAATTACCTTGTCTTTCACTCCTAGCATTGACTTCTGCTCCAGCTGCGAGTAAAGTCTTCACAACATCCGTGTGGTTCTTATCAGCTGCCAGAATTAACGGCGAGGTCCCTGGGGGGTATTTAAGTGATGATGATAATGATAGTGATAATGATAATTGATTGTTTGTGATTATATAATATAGATAGATATATAATACAAGCAGATAGATGGATGAACAGATAGATAAATAGATAAATAGATAAATAGACAAAGATAGATTTTGGTATGAATATATGAATATATACATGCATGCTTACATACTTATACATGTATGCTTTTATACATACGGGTACATATAGATATAGATATATACATCTATTGATCTACAGATAGATAGATGAACAGAGAGAAAAATTGAGAGAAAAGAATCCGAGTAGAGAAGAAATAATGAAGGAAATCTAAAAGCCAAAAAAAAATACCAGAAAAAAAAAATAAAAACACCAGTTTCACAATCTTCAGAACGAAGATAAGAAAAGAAAAGAAAAGAAAAAAAGCACAGATCACCAAATAAGTAGAATATATAATAATGAAAATAAAACGAATCAATACCCTCCCCCTCAAATAAATAAATAAACAAATAAATAAAATAAATGAAAATAGTAAGAAATACCAGTAAAATATCAATAAACATGACACGGAAAGAGCCTGCCGTTTACCCTCCATATTGCGCAGGTCGGTGCGCGCCCCGGCAGTCAGAAGGTCCTGTACAAGAGAAGGGCTGCCTGTAACAACGGCCCAACTCAGTGCCGTGTTTCCTGAAGGGGAGGAAAGGACACAGAAAGCTATGAAGGTAAGTTGGGAAGTTGGGTGTTAAGGTAAGTAGGGAAGTTGGATATCAAGGTAGATTGTGAATATGAAGGTAGACAGGAAAATTGAATATTGAGGTAGATAAGGAATAATGAGATAAACAGTGAATATTAAGGTAGAGAGTGAATATGAAGGGGGGGTTGGGAATATTACTGTAGATTAGAAAGAAAATGTGTGTATGTATATCTTACATGAGTACATATACAAGCAGAGAGAAAATATGATGTAGACATGATCATACACACTCAGCAAATGTAATTATATGTGTAGGCAATAAAAATATATACAGTATGTGTGTGTGGGTGTTTATTAACTGAATTTCCCGATAAACCGTAAACTATCTCGCCTCCTGCCCATTACACATATTTACACACACACAAACATAAACACACACACACACATATACATGTATATATACATATATATATACATATACAAATATAATATATATATACATATATATATATATATATATATATATATATATATATATATATATATATATATATATATGTAAATATATATAATATATATATATAAATATATATATATATATGTAAATATATACATATACATATATATGTATATATGTATATATATATATATATATATATATATATATATATATATATATATATATATATATATTTATTTATATATAACATTACATCCTTACAGATATAAACTAAATTAAAATACCAAAAATTACAAACCATTAACCAAGACCTAACATTTCACCATCTATCTATCAACATCATTATACATCACCATTAGTGTTTTAAATGTGTACATGCTATACTACAGAGCTTTCTTACCCTGGGCGTTCTGGTGGTTCACGGACGCGCCGGCGCTGACCAAGATTTTCACGACTTCCATGTGATTCTTGCCAACTGCGTACATGAGTGCTGAGGATCCTGTTTCAGATGGAGAGGAAACGATAAGTCACGATTATTCAATTATATTTATTGGTAGATGGATTGCATGTGATTTTGTGGTATGTTTTATACCCAGGTTATAATGAAGTGTGGGTGTATGTGTATATATGTATACATTCATGAAATCCCAGACTAAAGACATATATATCTCCACCTCTTTCTAAGCTGGTAATGTGTGTGTGTGTATGTATGTATGTATGTGTGAGTGTATGTGTGAGTTTATGTGTGTGTGTGTGTGTGTGTGTGTGTGTGTGTGTGTGTGTGTGTGTGTGTGTGTGTGTGTGTGTGTGTGTGTGTGAGTGTATGTGTGAGTGTATGTGTGTGTGTGTGTGTGTGTGTGTGTGTGTGTGTGTGTGTGTGTGTGTGTGTGTGTGTGTGTGTGTCTTCTTTTTCTTTATTTCTCTTCCCCCACGTCTTCCTCCCTTCCCCACTCACCCGTAACATCGGTGAGGTTGACGTCGGCTCCTGCAGTCAGCAGGTCCATCGTCATCTTCGCGTTGCCGTTGTTGGCCGCGAAGAACAGGGGGGACTGACCTGAACGGGAAAATAGGAAAAGGAAGGTTATGAGGGAGTTTTGGATTAGATAAAAAAAAGCCTTTTGTTTCTTTTCTCTTATCTCTTTCGTTTTTTTTCTTGTCTCTATATTTCTTTCGATTTGGTATCGCCTTTTCTGTCTACATATCTCTCTCTCTCTCTCACACACACACACACACACACAACAAACAAACACGAAAACGACCAAACAAACAAAACAAAACAAACAACCACACAAACAACCACAAACAAACATTCCCCTCCCTAAACCCAACGAACCCCCAACCCCCTCCCCTAAGGCACCAACCTGACGTCAAGGTGAGATTCGCGTCGGCCTTCGCGTCGAGTAGGACCTTGACCGTCTCACTGTGGTTGTTGCTCGCCGCTTCGATCAAAGGAGTCGTACCTGCAGTAAGGTTAGCGA